TGTAATAAATTTATCCTGAAACAGAATAGTTGTTTAAAAAGTGAGAGGCAAAATAAAAGTTAAAGAAAATTTAAAATGTCTGTAGATTGCTTGTACAGGTTAAATAAAGCTCATAAAAAGATTTTGTAAAAAAGTTTACATGTAATCCAGTTGACTATGTATTTCCTTTAAAATTTCTTAGCTTGTAATCTTGTTTAAACAAATGTTTTAGACCTTTGATATTTGACAAACCTTCCAAAACCAAAACTCTAAATTTAGGGCTTGGTGCCCATAACACAGTGATTGTGACACCAGCCACATTAACCAAGACTGGCAGGTTCTGAACCTGAGAAAAACAAATTAAACTTATTTAATTTGTTAAAAGTGTATGGAAAACATTGTCAAATATGAAATGATAATTAATTTTGTATAAATTATGGTTATATATATATTCCAATATTATAAAGCATTGGTCTGTCCTATATTCTAATGTATAAAACATTAGTCTTTTATCACCTGTAAAACATTAGTCTGTCTTAACATATACTATCAGTAATAATTTTAATTCATCTAAAAAAAGTGTTTTTTTATGTAACTGACAAAGTTCAAAGTTCATCCTAAAAAAATAAATATGAGGAATTCTCTCGAATTCTAATTCTAATGTCTTTAGAAATTAAGTACCTTCAGACTAAAAGCAGATTTTTAAAACTTTCATTGGAAATTTAACATGTCTGTAAGTATTGCTAATCTAGTTTCAAACAGAACAAAAATCAGTTATGTGATTTGAGCTAGTTTATTATAGCTTTGTGTTTAAAATATTGTTGGTTCTTCCTGTGTTCGGTTTTCCAGAAATCAAGAAAATAATTTTCTGTCTTTTGAGCTATTTGTAACTTCTCAAGCAATGTATATACTTATGAGCAGAGTTTAAAACATATATATTTTCTCTCTCTTTAATTTCTCCAACTCTATAAGCCATTTCTAAATATTCTTAATTTCTAACAATACAGTTATTTGCATAAGTTCAATACAAATCTGTTTTGTTCTATAAAACATAATAAAGACACTGATTATTTTACCAACACTTTGGCTGAAATAACGTTTCCTGAGATATGCAGACTGTGTTAAGGGATTAAGGTTGACTTTATGAAGCCAATAAAAAGACCTCTGGAAAACTAGCCAGATACCCATCAGTAACATTTCTTGATCTGTAGTAAGTAACGAAGGTAACTTCCTGACAGGTCTGGGAGTCAAAATCTGCTTCCAAACCTCAAAAAAAAATTTACCCAATGCATACAGGTATCTAATGGCACTGATAAAACCTGGGTTCATGAAAAGCTTTCAAAAGATCTAACCTAAAAATTCCTTATAAAAAATTCCAGCAAAGCCAATTTTAAAAAAGAGTCCAGATAATTAATAATTATTCTGACTGCACTTTATGCAAATAATCAGTATACTGAAGGCACAGTTTATCTTAACAACTGAATTAGTTCTGCCATAATTTGTGTTTAATAAAGAGAAAAATAGGAGAGAACAAAAATTAATTCAAAAAAAAAAAGGCTGTAACTCACCTGTATTAAATCCCAACTTTGTCTGTACTATCAACTCATAAAATGAAATATAACTGTTTTACTAAAATAATCTGTTAAATGGAACTAAAAAACTGGCCCAAAGGTATAAAATTATATACAATAGTTATATTTATTCTAAAGCCTTAAAATTCAACAAAGGTCACCTGTTAAAAATTTGTACAGTATTAAATATTACAAAGTAATGTGTATAAACAAAGCCATAAAAACAGGAATCAGTAAACTTTGCCAAGAAACAAACTTTAATTAAACATAAACCTTGCCACCAGTATTGTTCAAAAAAACCTTCATTAATTGTCTGCTAAAAAAAAAAAACTAAAAAAAAACTGAATTAAATAGCCACTTGAGTAATTAACCACATTCTACTATAGCAGCTACACAACCTCCAGGTTTCCAAGCCTGGAAACCAGGCTTGACCAACTAAATCAGAGAAAAGAAAACCACAACTCTAACCACCAAACCCCTCAACTATCATCTTCAATTAAAAATTTAATTTTTCCCAAGAAGACCAGTCAGAAATGTTGTAAGCTCCTGTTCCCCCCAGGTCCCCCTGCCTTCTCCCATTCCCCTGCCCACGGGCCTTCCCAGCCACGTTCCCAGGCCCCTTCCTTCCCCCTAGGGTTGCCAAGAACAAGCTTCAGAACAAGGAAGAAAAGTCCCAACTTTCACAAACCCCCCAAGTTCTCAGTAGATGAACAATGGTGGAAAACTCACCAAGGCTTGCTCAGTAGATGAACAATGGCCGAAAACTCAGGGAGACTTGATTACTGTTGTATAACCATAACCATTGTGATATGAGATGTATCCATTGTCAACCAAAGCTGTATTAATTATTGTTACATTACTGTAACCATTGCTGTATCCATGACTACCTGAGCTGTAACCTCCCCTTAACCAGCCATGTTTCGCTTCTGTAATATGCTTGCACAAAACCTATAAAAGGCAACTCACTCCCCTACTTGGCTGCTGACTGCCTCTTGAAGCAGCAGCCCCTGCAGCAGTAAAATAAACTACCAATTTATTATATCTAAGTGAGGGTCTGACTGTATCTTTTCAGGTCATAGGGGGTACCACAACAGGAACAGAGAGATGAAGAGTCATTCACAGACAGGCAGCACCTGTGGCTCAGTGGTTGGGTGCCAGCCCCATATACCGATGGTGGTGGGTTGGAATCTGCCAAACTGCAACAAAAAAAATAGCCAGGCTTTGTGGCAGGTGCCTGTAGTCCCAGCTATTCAGGAGGCTGAGGCAGGAGAATCACCTAAGCCCAGGAGTTGGAGGTTGCTGTGAGCTGTGTGACCCCTCAGCACTCTACCGAGGGTGACAAAGTGAGACTCTGTCTCTACAAAATAATAATAATAAAAGAGTCATTCACAGACAGACCCCAAGATCTGCACCATCCTCTCACTTTTTTTGTCTTTCTTTCTTTCTTTCTTTCCTTTTTTTTTTTTGAGACAGAGCCTCAAGGTCTTGCCCTGGGTAGAGTGCTGTGGCATCACAGCTCACAGCAACCTCCAACTCCTGGGCTCAAGCAGTCTCCTGTCTCCGCCTCCCAAGTAGCTGGGACTACAGGAGCCCGCCACATGGCCAGCTATTTTTTAGGTGCAGCCGTCGTTGTTGTTTGGCGGCCGGGCTGGACTCGAAGCCGCCAGCTCAGGTGTATGTGGCTGGAGCCTTAGCCGCTTGAGCCACAGGCGCCGAGCCTTTTTTCTTTTTGTGAGACAGAGTCTCATCATGTTGCCTTTGGTAGACTGCTGTGATGTCATCCCTCACAGCAACCTCAAACTCTTGGGCTCAAAGGATCCTTTTGCCTCAGCCTCTCCAGTAGTTGGGACTACAGGCGTCTGCCATAACACCCAGGTATTTTTAGAAATGGGGATATCATTCTTGCTTAGGCTGGATCATCTCCTCACTTTGCACAAGAGGCCAAGGAAGCCCAGAGAGGGGAGGAACTTGTCCAGCTCACCTGGGTGTCATATTTGGGTAAAGTTGAACCCAGAGCCTAGCCATCGTGCACCCTGGGCCAGGGCTCCTTCCCTCCACTGCCATCCCAGCACCTCCTTACCCCTCTATTCTCACTTTAAACCTCACTCAGAAGGAGCCAGAAAAGGAGACAGTGAGGGAAAGACAAAGGTTGGTATGCTGTGTATCTCAGAAATGTAGGGAGACGAGAGGCTCTTCCTGAGATCCAGCCTCTGGTCCACCTGTCCCAGACACTTACCCACTGACTGAAGAGTAGCCACCAGGCTGCCGGCAGAAACTCCACCCCCGTTGGCAATGGCTGCTGCAGACATCATCTTGGCTGCTATGGAGGAGGCAGCGATTCCTGCCCCGGTGAAGCCCATGGCACTGAGCACCACGGGGACAGCCCCCACGGCCAGGGCTGTGGGGGGAGAGAAGCTGGATGGGGGTGGGGGCTCGGGAAGAGACCCCCCTTAGGAATTCCTTGATAGTTTCTGGGGACTTTGGCATTTAAAAGACAGCAGCTTGGAGAGGGTCCCAAGGTGAAGAAGAAGTGGTGGGTATAGAGCCAGGTGGGGTCAAGGGATGTCTTAGGAGTTCCAGGCACAGCTCTGATTTGTCTTTAACTTGCTGTGTGAGGCTGGGAAGTCACTGGCCCTCGATGGCTCTCAGGTTTGTGTGTGTGTGTGTGTGTGTGTGTGTATAAATTGGGGGGGGGGGGATGAGATAAAACATTGTAGTGTTTATTTAGCATTAAACCCCCTTCCAAACAAAACCTTCCTTACGTGCTTATACACCAATGAGGACTAAGGAGAAGCTGGGACTGGAGGGCAGGGAAGGAGTGCAGGGGAGGAGGTGCAGTTTTTCCCTGGAGTACTGAGTTTTGCTCTCTATAGGCAGCTCTGGGAGGGAGGTGAGGGGGGTGAGGGCAGCACCGCGTCTCTGTGGTCTTCCAGCCATCCCTGATCAGGGCCCAGGGGTGGTCCTGGAGACGAAGGCAATCTGGGTAACTCACCTCCCCCGATTGCAGCAGCAGCCGCTTGTTCTAGACAGAGATCGAGAGAGGGAAAGCGAAAGTAAGCTCACCCTGGCCCTTTGCAGCATGGAGTAGGGCAGACCTGGCCCCCACCCAGCCCCGGCCCCAGCCCCAGCACCAGCACCAGCCCAAGACTCACTCATCATGGTGAGGCTGTCTGGGTTCCACTCCGGTCCGTGACGCTGTTGGGTGGGATGCCTCTTCCGCTGTCAACCAATAGGGGGCCCCCCACCCCTCGCAGCAGGTGACTAAGCACAGCTGGGGCGCCGCCCTCGCCCCGCCCGACTCTTCTGCTGGCTGGGGTCCCCCTTGCGGGGGGGTCTCTCCGGCTTGACCAATCTACCAAAGACAGCAGCGCTCTACAGCGCCTCAAAGCCATAGCAAGCGGGCCACAGGTCCAGGTTGTTGTGACATTTCCCCCATAACCGAAGAGCTGTTTGCTACAAACGCCAGAGAAGAACAGTATTTCGTTTCACCCCGGAGAGAGACCCTGATGGGTTCTGGCGCCCTTCCCTCCGGGGTGTCTGCCCTGCGCGTGTAAACCCCTCACCCCGCCGAGGTCCAGGCGCACTGCGCACACTGCTTTGCAAATTACTGGCTTAATGGAATCGGCCATCTCGATTTCCCCAGCTGTGTGATATTCTTCCACAAGGTTCTTTTTTCAAGTCGCGTTAATCGAGGTGTCATTTACCTAAAGTAAAATTCACCCTTTTACTGTACACTTGTATGAGTTTGGGTGACTTCTGCGGTCGTGGAACCACCTGCCTGCATATAGAACATGTTATCTCCTCTCCTCCCTGTCCCCCGAAATTCTCCCCAGCTCCTTTGGAGTGACCCGGCCCTTGGCGACCACTGATGTGTTTTCCATCCCCGCACGTTCGCCTTTCGCAGAACTTTAACATGATATTTAATTGTCATCAAATATTCTGTCCCGTGGATGCTTATTTTAAGGATTTAAATTCTTTCTAATTTTTAGTCTTAGAAGTTATCTTGGCATGAAGTGCTAACATCATAGGGTTGGTGCTGTGTGTTTCTAGAGGTGGAGTTGCTGGGTCAGAAACTGTGCTTTCCTTACAGCACTGGGCGCTTACTGTTAGTATCAGTTTACACCCCCCCACAGACGGGTGTGGGGGGATCCATTCTTTCCCACTCTTCATTAACAGCTAGCTTTGTCATTTAAAAACACTTTTGGTGATTTAATAGGTGAAAAATGCTGACTTATTTTAATTTACATGGCTTTATTTCATTAGGCTTAGGTAGTCTGTATTTTGTGAATTATCGTATTTTATTGTGTTGTAATTATTTTTTCCTTGTTCGTGCCTAGAACTTATGATGTATTAATTATCTTAATCCAATCTTACAGATGTTGCAAATTTTGGTTTCCAGTTTGTGTGTGTGTGTGTGTGTTTTATTCATAGAAAGGTTTTTAATATTTATGTACAATTGCCAATATTTTTACTCTTTGTTTTTGGTCTTTGTGTGCCTAAAAAGGGCATTTCTGTTAGCTATCAGATACATGATCACTGGTATTTTCTTTAGATTCTTCTGGGGTTTCACTCCTTAAAAATAATTTTTGATCCATTTAGAACTTATTGGTTTACATATCTTTTATGTGCCTTAGCCAGCTGCTCCAACACTGTGGATTAAATAATCTTTCATTTCATCTTTGATTTGATATCCATTTTTGTATTAAAAACTGATATACCAGCCTACAGACCAGAATACCTGTTTGAACATTTTCTATTCTGTCTTGAAGAGCTCTATCTCCTGGCAACAATATCACAGTGTTTTAATGCTTATAAATTTGTTATGTGATTTAAAATCTAACTGTGGATTGCAGGATCAGAATTGTTACTCCAGGGCTATACATTTTTTGGTGAAGATTAAAAATACTTTGTAATCCCCTGTAGTATCCAGAAATGAAATTCATAAATAACATCATCTAATGACGCACAAGTTATTATCCAAACTAGAATATAAAACAGAAATGAAAGAAAATTATTTATAACAAAGTAGTATATATTTCAATATGTATATGCTCAAGCACAATTATACCAGAAGATAAAATAAGAGAATGAGTCACTTGTATCCATATTAGTTTATTTTTTTTGAGAAAGAGTCTCAAGCTGTTCCCTGCTGTGGCTCACAGCAACCTCAAACTCTTGGGCTTAAGCAATTCTCTTGCCTTAGCCTCCCAAGTAGCTGGGACTACAGGTGCCTGCCACAATGCCCGGCTATTTTTTTGTTGCATTTGTCTTTGTTTTGGTTGGCAGGGGCTTGGTTCAAACCTGCCAGCCTCATGTGGCTGGCGCCCTACCCGCTGAGCTACAGACACTGTCCTGTATCCATATTAGTTTGGATTTAGGATGTCACAATAAAAATTTTTAATGCTGGAAGTCAGAGTGACAAGCTGCTTCTGGCCTGGAAGGAAGCAATAGTTATGAACTGATTATGGGGCCACATGGCCAGGACTATAAACAGCTTGCTGAGAGTGGTCCCAGCCAACAGCTAGAGCAAGAAAATGGGACCTTAGTTACACAGCCACAAGGAACTGAATTCTGCCAACAACTGGAATGCGTTTGAGTCTCAGATGAGAGCCCAAACCTTGGCTGATACCTTGTGAAACCTGAGCAGAGGGTCTGCCGTTGCCCACACTCCAGAATCACAGAAACGGAGGACACAACATTCATCCCTCTGTCTTTTCTACCATGTGAGGATGCTGCCGTTATGTAGGAAATCCCCATCTATGGAACAGGCCTTCACCAAACACCAATTCTACTCATGCTGCAATCTTGAACTTTCCAGCCTCCAGAACCATGAGAAAGAAATTTCTATTGCTTATAAAAAAACTTCTTAACACTTATTTTTTATATCTGATGTTTGAAACAAGAGCTTAAGAAATACATCTATATGGTGGCCATCAAGTTTGCGTGCAATTGCACACTATTGTAAATTGCAGAGGAAATTTGTGGCCACCTTGTATATTTATATCTAATCATCACAAAGGTGATAGCTGCAAATACAGACTGAGTGAAGTACATTGCTACCAGCAACATGACTTTCTGAAATGGTGAATAACTCTTGGTAACGTTAAGAACAAATCAAAGTACAATCTCTCCCTAAGTTTCAAGATAATGAATGATATTCCTAGAAAATTCAGTCTCTGTTATAACTATGCACCGAATACTTAACACATGTAAACGGTGGCTCTGGTCCTAATTATGAAGTTTTTTTTCTTACATGACAGGATCTTCGGAATTTGTAGAGGGTAGATTTCAGTTGTGCAGGATGGTCTTACATATTTCAAGATGTCAGGTATCTTTGTACCCTGTGTGCTGCATACTATCAAATATTAATAGTGGCATTCCTCCATCTCTGACTTCTGAAAGCACACCATCAAATTTCCAAAATGCCCCCTAGGGGGCAGTACCATCCTGTTCAAAACTAATGCTTTAGAAGTAACCTAAAAACAACAACAACAACAACAACTAGAGATGTTTATAATTATTTATAGAGAAAATAAATAAAACTAATAATAATAAAAATTCTTGGAATTAAGAATTGTTTGTGCATATTGAGTATTTAACTTGGTATGTGACAGAATAATTATAATCACAATTTTAATGGTGAACTCTGGTTAAGAGATTTAATCTTGTGCTTACAAAGTAATCCTCAGTACCCACCTGGATCATTCAGGATAATCTGTGTATTAAACAACCAGGAATTTTCCTCAAGTTCACAATATAAGTCATTTTTCCTGTTTCATTGCCCCACTTTTAATAGAGAGTGCATATAGAGAAATAGTATTTTACTATCAGAAAAACTACAGTCCAACTCCATGATAAATGGCAACAGAAGCTGGAGAGGCCTCAGGCAACCCAGAAAGCTGTCCTTATCCTGTGTAAAGGAAGAGATAGATCTAAAGTGTTTCCTTGTGGGGGTGGGGGACCAATAGATCCAAATCTTGACCAGGGGTCCGGATACTGTACAATTTGGATTGGAGCCACATGTGTGGCTTTAAAACTTCAGGTCCCCCACCTCTGCATGGACACTCTTATATGAAGACATCAGCAACCACAACCACACCGTGGCCAACCCAGCCTTGGAGAGATCAAGCCCACAGGCCACTGGACCTGAGCTCCAGGCCTGGGGAGAGAGGTTCTCCTTTCACATCATCAATCTTTACTTTTGATAGCCATGAGGGCAAGGCCTGCGTCCCCTCTGAAAGATCCACCTTTTTCTCTTTTCACAATTTCCTTGCCATCCTGGGAATTTAGGTGAAGTACTCACTGTCTTTGGGATATCTCACAGCCCCACAGTGGGGTTAATGGAATCTGTATCAAAGCGAAGTTCACTGATTCATTCAAAATGTAGATATCTATTTACATTTTCTTTATGTCAATCACTGTTTTGACCTGCAGCAGAGTTAATGAAGCCTACATCAAGAGCCTTTCCCTGAGAAGTGTGTGAAATACTGTAGATGCTAGGTATAATGTGACCCGGAAAATTCAGCAATGCCCCATTTCCCCAGTTTTTAAATCTATAAAAGATGCCATTACTGGAAAATTAATCCCAAGCCTCAAGTCCTCATTTATGCAACATTAGAGCAGCTCCTCTTGGAAGGTTTGTGATCTCACTACATAACTACCTACCATAATGCTTTAAAAGTCATCTTTAGGTTGGGTGCGGTGGTTCATGCCTGTAATCCTAGCACTCTGGGAGGCCAAGGCAGGTGGATTGCTTGAGCTCAGAAGTTCAAGACCAACCTGAGCAAGAGCTAGACCCCGGCTCTACTAAAAAAAGAAAAGAAAAAAATAACTAACCAGTAGTTGTGCTGGGTACCTGCAGTCCCAGCTACTCAGGAGGCTAAGGCAAGATTTCTTAAGGCCAAGAGTGTGAAGTTGCTGTGAGCTATGGCACCAGGGCACTCTACCCAGGGTGATAGAGTGAGAGTCTGTCTCTAAATAAAATAAAATAAAAGTCACCTTTCAATCTAGTTTAAGTACCGGCTGTCCAGCACTTGCATAGGTGAGACTACATTCTCAGGAATCCTTATAAAACTCTTCTACCAATTTTGCCAGGTCACCTTACATGTACCTGAAACTGGCATTGATTGAGGGAGTCTCGTAGTCTCTGCTGTTCAAAATAAATGAGAGGCCACCACTTAGGATGAGATACTTTTCAAGTGCTCAAGTATGAAGTGACATTTTCCCAG